ATGGACAATAACAAGTGTTGACAAGAATGTGGAGAAATTGGAACCCTCATACATTGCTGGTGGGAGTGTGAGATGCCCCCTAAGAATCAGGTCTAAGCCCACTGAGGATGTTATAGTGGCCTGCTTGAGGAAAAGGGATTAAAGTGTAGGTTCTTTGGGGGCATCTGGGAGGCTCAGTTGGTGAAGCGTCTGCCTTTGGCTCGGGGCATGGTCTCAGGGTCCTGGGATCGATCCCTGCATCAGGCTCCCTGCTCAGGGGGGAGCCTGCTTCTCCCTCTCCCTCTGCCCCCCCCCGTGTGTGTACACACACACACACTCTCTCTCTCTCAAATAAATAAATAAAATCTGAAAAAAAAAAAGTGTAGGTGCTTTGATGGATGAGGAGGTAGAGTGGCCTGACTTCGGAAGGGGGTGGGTGTGTGTAGAAAAGGCAGGGAGCTGGGGAGCTGAGGGATGGGCTACAGGGGTGCCCAGAGAAATGGCATAAACATCACTCAATCTAGGCAGGCTTTGGGAGCTCCCAGCCAAGCATGGTCTAGGGGCCTGGGGCCACGAGTGCCTGCCTGGCTGAGCTGCCGTGGTAGCCTGTGTGTCTTCCCCTCAGGATGGCCTGAGCCTCCTGGGTCTGTGACTGGCCCCAGGGACAGGGGCAGGCTCCTGGTAAATGACAAAGAGTAGAGTTCCTGCCAACCCTGGCAGTGAGAGCAGGGGACTCCAGCTAGATTTCATTTGATTTATCAGAATAAAGAAATGCACATTTCTCGTGCCCTCGGTGCCGTGATGTAATTCACATATAGAATTACAAATCGTGATAATTGCGAGGTATAAAGGGGATGGCCATAGAGAAAGAGGGCACATTCCCTATTTACTTAGCAGGTAGAGTGGACATGTTTTAGTGTTGGATTGGAAGTGGAGGGTTGGAAATTGGTGCAAAAAAAACAAAAACAAAACTAAACCCCAAAACAAAACCAAACCCCGAAGATTTCCAGGTTTCTGAGAACTGGGTCACTCAGGGTCCATTCCCCTTCCCTTTTCTCTAGATGACCCGTCCTGGCCGGGACAAAGACTACCGATAGTACTGCCCCAGTACCACCAGGCCCCTGTCGCCTACTGTGGATCCACACGCACTGTGGTCTCATCCCCCACCGCGGCGTAAGGTGCCTCCCCTTCGCGGGCAGCCGGCAGGTGTTAAGGGAGGGGATCACTTCGTGGCGGGAGTAAAATCGCAGCCTGTCCCCGGATCAGCCACCAGGGGCTCCGGCGAGGCCTCAGCCCAGCTCCTAGAGGGCCTCCAAGACCGGCCTTGAGGTGGCGGCCCCCCAAGGCGGAGTCGCGTCTACGCGCCCCAGGTTTCCTTCTCCCACCCCCAGCAGGTCCCCCCCTCCCAGGGCCCCGAGGCTTGGCTGCAGGGGACGTGCGGATGGCTGCTGCCTGGGGCCAGGGCTCACGGATTTCCCGCCCCAGGGTGAGGTGGGATCCACGGCTGGACCGGTCCAGCCAGGTTCTCGGGCCCTTGGGCTGAGTCTGGGCCTCTTCCGACCCGAGTGTCAGATCCGGGCTCCGATGCAGGCCGACCTGGATTTGGCCCTGGGCTGGAACAGGAGCCTCCCTTGCAGAGAGCCCCCCAACCCGCCCCACCCCTCCTGGCCTCCTCAGCGGGCGCCCCAGACCCTTCGGGGGTGCCCGGTGTCGGTGCCCGCAGAGTGGCGGGCAGCGGGGTCCCTCCTCTGGATTCGCGGCGCGCAGTGCGGCGGCGGGAGGGAGAAGGACCGATGGAGGTGCCAGGTGCTGGGGAGAGGCCGGGAAATGGCTGCAGCTGGGAAGGACCAGGCCGGGAATGAAGTCTGCTTCTGAGGAGGGCCAGAGTCCAGTTCATTTCCTGCCTTTTCAGGCCCCAGCCCTGGCCGGGAGACCTTGGCCCTCACCTCCCTCCCTGGGCCCTCTTCCCATGCAGTGGAGAGCTGGCCGGTGGGGCCTAGGCTGGCAGCTCAGCCCTGGGCCAGGGGATTTCAGTCGTCGGGGAGGGCTTTACAAGTGAGGAAATTGAGGTGGTTGGCGCTGGGCTGGAGCCCAGGTTGGCCTGCTCCCCAGCTGAAGCTGCTAAACCCAGCAGCGGCCGCGGCCGGGTCCTCATGTGCCCTCTCTCTCAGCCCTGGACACGGGGCATCACAGGCCTGGCAGCAAAGGCCCCTGGTTTCTTCTTACAGCTTTGGGCCAGCCTTCCCAGCTTCCTTTGTGCATTTCTCATCCTACCTTTTAAAAGTCTCCAGAGCTTTGGACTGGGCCCGCTTCTCTTCCGTTGTGACCCTGTCACTGGGAGAGCTTAACCTCCCCCAAGTGGGGCTCATTCTTCCTTCAGAGCTGGAGCCCTGGTAGCCTGTGGCGTCCTGGACGTCTGCCCCTGGATGTTCCGTGTCTCTGAGGGGGCCCCGTCATTGGCCTGGCCCGTGGGGGTGTGTGAGTTATGGGACTGGGTGTGTGGGTCAGAGGGCGAACGGAAAGGAGGAAGGTTTCCATGCACAACACTTCTTTCACCTCAGTGTGGCCTTTCTGGTCTGTAGGGAGGGCCCCGACTCTGAGAACTCGTATGGCAGCAAGCTCTGTGTTGGGCCAGGAAGAATCCTGTGTGTGTGCGTGTGTGTGAGTGTGTGTGTGTGTGTGTGTGTGTGTGTGTACAGAGGTTTCTGGGAGCAGAAAACCCTGGTGCTGTTGGGAGTGGGCCGAGGAGGCCGGCCTGGGGCCAGTTGCTCAAAAAATTGACTATTTGGAAGTCATCAGTACTTCCTGTGATGGTTTCTCTGTTAACAACCCAGCTGAGCTACTTTAAAACGAGACCTTTAAAAGGGTTTAGTGTCCATAATGGGTCTTAAAGGCCCTAAGGGGGTTGGAGTGCTCCTTGGGAGTTGGCTTTCCTGGGGGCAACAGGTGGAGCTCCCCCGACGACCCCAGGCCCCTGAGGACTCTGAGGTTATGGTGGCCCATACAGTGGTGTCTTCATAGGACCCATCTCTGACCAAGTGGAGCTTTGGCCCTGGTGGTACCCGGTGTTCTTCCCCAGCCTGCCTCCCTCTCTCAGGTCCTCAGATTCTGAGAACTGGTCACTTCTGCCTGGTCCCAGTTTTTTGCCACACCCCTTGGTCAGCTGTCATGCATATCTGGTTTCTTTCATTCGAGGACTTCCGGAAAGGGCTTACCCCAGCCCTTGTACCCACACCCCATGATACCCCAGGCTGTCTGTACTCCATGGCCACTTTCTCTGAGAAGCCTTCCTGGCTGCCCCCACCAAGTATTCTCTCTTCACTGTCCTCTCAAAACCACGCCTCTAGTTGTGTGCTCGGGCCTCATCCCACACCACCTTTTATTCTCATGAGACTGAGACTTCTTTCCCACTGTGACTTCAATGCCCAACACTGAGTGAGACCAAGTGGGTGCTAAGGAAAAGTCTGTTGTGGGTATAAATGAATGAGGAACCTCAGGATTGTTTTAGAAGCCTTGGCTGGCCTGTCCTGGATATTGAATGGGGATTAGCAGATGTTAGGTTCTACCTTCACGAGTGTCCTGGACTCTCTGATCAGAGGCCTGGTTTTCTCAAGAAGCATGACCTCTGGGGGCGCCTGGGTGGCTCAGTCGGTTAAGTGTCTGCCTTTGGCTCAGGTCATGATCCCGGGGTCCTGGAATCGAGCCCCACGTTGGGCTCCCTGCTCAGTGGGGAGTCTGCTTCTCCCTCTCCCTCTGCCCCTGCTCGTGCTCTCTCTCTCTCTCAAATAAAGAAATAAAATCTTAAAAAAAAAAAACAAAAAAAAAAAGGAGCATGACCTCTAGATGAGGTCTGAGCCCTTGGCTAACAACTGTCACCCGGAATCACCCTGTGCTAGCTGGATCCCTGTTCCTCTTTCCTCTTTGGGCTTCTACTCTGACCAATACAGGGCTGTCTGCTGCGGTCTGGTATCTGTTCCTCGGCTTTCATGGGACCCGACCTGTGAAATGATAGAAAATATTGGTCTCTGTCCCTGGTTCCTGGCACAGAGCTCCTAAAACTCTCGGAACTTCCTAGGTGATAAGACTGTCTTTTGTTGTAATGAGGCAACCCTTGGTAGTCTCCTGGATAGCTTCAGGATGGATGCTGGACACTAGAAAGACCAAACCATGAAACTTTCAGCCCCACCCCTATCCTCTGGGAAGGGGAGAAGGGCTGGATATTGAGTTAATAATGGATCATGCCTACATGATGAAGCCTCCATAAAACCCCCCGAAGTCCGGGGTTTGAAGAGCTTCTGGGTTGCTGGAGGTACTGAGAGGGTGGCATGCCTGGTGAGGGCATAGAAGCTTCATGCTCCTTCCCCCATGCCATACCCCACACATCTCTTCCATCTGGATGTTCATCGGTATTCTTTATCCTTTAATGATAAACCGGTAAACCTAAGTAAATGTTACCCTGAGTTCTATGAGACATTCTAGTAAATTACTGAACCCCGGTAGGGGGTTGTGGAAATCCCAATTTATAGCCCACAGTCAGAAGTATAAGTAACAACCTGGGACTTGCCATTGGCATCTGAAATGTGGGCGTGGGGCCAGTGTTGTGCAACTGAGCCCTAAACACCTGTGGGGCCTGGCGCTATCTCTGGGTAGACAGTGTCAGAAGCGAGTCGAATGGCAGGACCGCCAGCTGGTGTCAGATATTATCGTTCCATGTGTGGTGTCAGAAGTGAAGTGCCGTGGGAGTGTGAGAGTGAAGGAGAAACACAGGCTCGTCCTGCCCCACAACCTCATTATGGGGTCCTGTCCCCGACCTCCTAGCCTCTCCCACCCCCTCCCGTCTTATGCTGTCTGCTCACAGGAGCTGGGGATTTCTCAGACTTGTCTGGCCCAGATGGATGAATGCGGAGTCCTGCGTGCCCAATTTTAAATGTGCACGGTGTACGTGAGTGCACGTGCAAGCGCACGCGCACACACACACACACATATACACTCAGGTAGGACCAGAGAGAAACACTGCTGAGCCAGAGGGACCAGTTTTATTAGATTCCAGCAAGACTATACAGTATGTGTTTCATGCAGATTAAATATGTGTCTTCGCCGCCCCTGGGAGGGAGCACTTCCACGGTCAGCTCCTTCCTTGGCATGTCAAGGGGTGAGTGTCAAGGGGAACTCTCAGTATATTCTGCACGGGGGACAGTTGGGATCATGACTGGGGGTAGAGGTGAGACAGTGGGAAGCTGGGGGCCCCTGGGACCTTGAGTCTTCAGAGGCTCGGGGACCACAGGACCTTGGTCTTTTGCTGGTGGTGACACCAGAAGGTCTTGATCTTTCAGAGGCACTGGAATTATAGGAACTTGATTCTTTACAGGCTCAGGGACCACAGGCTCTTGATTCTTTGGAGGCTCTGGGACCATGGGGCCTTGATCCTTGACTACTGCTGGGACCACAGGACCTTGATTCTTTACATGTGCTGCAACCACAGAATCGTGATCTTTCGGAAGCTCTGGGACCGCTCCACCTTGATCCTTGACTGGCTCCAGAACCACTAAACCTTGATTCTTTACAGGCTCAGAGAGCACAGGACCCTCCTTCTTTACAGGTGCTATGACTGCAGCGCTTTGATCCTTCAGAAGGTCTGAAACCATAGGACCTTGATCCTTGACAGGTGCCAGGACCATGGGACCTTTGTCCACAGGCTCAGGGACCACGGGGCTTTGATCCTTGACAGGTGCCGGGACCATGGGACCTTGATCCACAGGCTCAGGGACCACGGGGCTTTGATCCTTGACAGGTGCCGGGACCATGGGACCTTTGTCCACAGGCTCAGGGACCACGGGGCTTTGATCCTTGACAGGTGCCGGGACCATGGGACCTTTGTCCACAGGCTCAGGGACCACAGGGCTTTGATCCTTGACAGGTGCCAGGACCATGGGACCTTGATCCACAGGCTCAGGGACCACGGGGCTTTGATCCTTGACAGGTGCCAGGACCATGGGACCTTGCTCCTTCGGAGGCTCTGGTACCATGGAATCTTGATCCTTAGCTGTTGCTGGAACCATAGGACTTTGATTCTTTGGAGGCATGGGGACCAAGGAACCTTGGTCCTTTACTGGTGCTGAGATCACAGAACCTTCATTCTTTAAAGGCTCAGGGGCCACGTGATCTTGATCCTTAACTGGTGTGGGGACCATGGGACCTGGATCCTTCAGGGGACCTGGATCCTTCAGAGGCCCTGAGACCTCAGGAGCTTGACCCTTCAGAGGCTCTGGGGCCATGGGGCCTTGATCCTTTGGATGCTCTTGGATCACAGGACCTTGATCTTTCAGAGGCCCTGGGCCCACGGGACTTTGATCCTTGTCTGGCTCTGTGGCTATAGGACCTCGATTCTTACGTGAATCACTGGCGAGTTCAACCTGGCTCCTGCAGAGGAGAGAGAGGTAGTCAGTGTGAGGGCCCGAGCTCAGGCCAAGGAGTGGGCAGAGCACAGATTGCCTGGTAATTCTTGGCCTAGTGGAGTCTGGGCAGGGCAGCTCTGGCTGGAGAGCCGAGAGGAGAATCTGATTTCCATGTTCTTAGTGCAGAATGTGGGGTGGGGTGAGGGGCGGGCTCAGGAATCAGTCATTCAGTGTGCTTGCCAATTGATTATAACCTGCGCGTGGCACAGAGGGTGGGACCCGGGTGACAAGGCAGTACCGGAGCAGGACTCAGAGCCTTCCTGTGGGTATCACAGCAGCCTGCCCACCCCACACTCCACCCAGGCTGCTCCTCCTGCCTCTGTGGTAGCTGGGATCCTCCTGCAAGCCTGTCCTAGCTGTCTGCTCAGATGGCCCCCCACGCCAGCGCACTGGCCCCCTTCTCGGGGCCTTCCAAGGCTCCTTCCCCTCCCCAGATCCCTTGTTAAGGGCTGACTGTGGAGAGGGACAAGAAAGAGGGCAGGGGAATGTCCCTCTGACTGCTGCTCCTGCAAGGGGAAAAGTGTTTTATCATGAACATTGTTTAGAATCACCTATGCAAGGTGACAATAAAAAGCAGACTGGCTTTCCATTGGTTTTATCACTGCATTTAAATTCTCTGTCTACAATGCGCCACATTGTTGCCCGTGCCACTGCCATTGCCCCCACCTTGGGCAGGTGACTGGCTGGGGCTCCCCACTCTGGCAGTGAAGAGACTCTGCTCCCCTCACTCTGTCCCCGCTTCTGGCTCCCCCTACTGTCACCGGGCCTTTGCCCTCACTCCAAGGCCCTGGGGCTGATTTCCCTGCAGCCTGAGTCCAAGCCTCTCACCAGGATTCACTGCGGACCCCGGCCTCACCCCTTGGCCCATCCACATGGTGGAGAGCAGGCGACATCGCTGACACCAAGGGCAAACCTTGCCACACTCAGAGTCCGCCAGGCTAGTTTAGAACGCACACTCGTTCCTTGCAGGCCAGGCTGAAATTTGCCACCCAAGATCAGCCACTCAGCTGGTGTCAGAGACCCTCGCACACTTCCAGCACATTCCACCTTCCAAATCACTTCTCAGAGCTCATTTCAGCAACCCAGCAACCCCATGAAGCTGCATGGATGTTATTACCCTTACTTGTCAGATGAAGAAACTGAGGTCCCGAGAGAGCAAGTGATGTGGACAGTGAGGGACCTGCATGGACTCTAGAGTCTGGGTCTTTCCACTCCCGGGGCCTGTGCTCTGTCCCCTGTAGTGCCTGGCACACAGTCGCTGCTCAGTACACGGTAGCTGTTATTACTCTTTTATACTTTGTGGCCAATCAAGTCTTTATGCTTAAAACCACTTTGGCATTTTAACAGTTCCTATTAGCTGGGTGCCTGGGTGGCTCAGTCGTTAGGCGTCTGCCTTTGGCTCAGGTCATGATCCCAGGGTCCTGGGACCGAGGCCCGCATTGGGCTCCCCGCTCCGTGGGAAGCCTGCTTCTCCCTCTCCCACTCCCCCTGCTTGTGTTCCCTCTCTCGCTGTCTCTCTCTCTGTCAAATAAATAAAATCTTAAACAAAACAAAAAAAACCAGTTCCTATTAGCTTTTAGGACTGTCTTTCTTACCGGCTTATTAAAGTTGGTCCAATAAGACCCCTACTTGCTCACACTTTCATAGCTCCTTATGATTTCCTCTCTCTGGGCCTCAAGTTTGTCATCTATTTCATTGGATATAATGATATTTACTCAGGAATGTATGATTAGAGATCATTAGCACCTTGTCCCAGGATATTACTATGCAATATTACCATTATTTTTCTATTGACTTAGAAGTAAAGTTACACATATTTGGACTATTTTTATTCTGACATGTCATCCCGATCCAGAAGCTTCTTACTGTATTTAGCATCTTGAGCTACCTGGGGACCTGCATCTCTCAGCAGAGGACACATTGGCATAGGCAGACTCTCCGTCAGTCCCTCTGCATGGCTCTGAGCATCACAGTGGACAGACAGGGGCCAGGTTGCCTCCCTGGCTCAGCATGATACAGAGCCAGATGGACACAGCTGGCTGCCATCAGTGGGACCTTAGTGTTGGCAGAGCCAGGCAAGGCCTCGAGAAGTACGCAGAATCCAAGGATGGCATTAAAATATGTCTAATACTTGGTGGCTGGCCGAAGAGGAAATAAAAACTGCCCGGTTCAGAATAGAATCAAGCAGGCATTCGAATAGATGAATCCTATCAGGTCGTGAACATCCTGAAGGGGTGACAGAGCTGAGGTAGGAAACACAAAAGGGGGCAGAGCTTAACTTGATCTTGGGGGCTTGCACTGCAAGACCTCCCTCACTGGCAGGACATGGACTCGGCGTCCCTGGCTGGCATGGGGATGAAACAGGGGAGAGCCCCACAGCGTGGGCAAAGTGCACTTCCCTGGGTGTCTGAGGCCTTAACTCCCATGCCTTGCCCCATATTTCTGTTGAATGAGCCTCTCAACCACCTGTGAGCTAACTAACCCCAAATTTGCTTGGATGAATAACCCTAGATCGCTTTCGCTAGTGAACCTGTTTCCTTAGTAAGTGTCCTTCCTTACTCATGGGAAGGTTTAGAATGAAGATTGGAAATGATAAAATCAAGTCTATAATATTACCCTTTTTTGTTATTAAGTTAAGGAAATGTCTGTGTAGATTTATTTTGAAAATATTTGTGATGTTTAAAATAATTTGGCGTATTAGGATATCTAACAGATGAGCTTTGTGATTCCAATATAAAATGTGTAATGGAATAATTAATTTAGATTTGCGATTTAAGTTGAAAGATATAGGACAATTTTATAAATTTTGAAAACAACGATGGAACTTTTATGATAACCCAATAATTATATTTTAAGCTTAGTTTATTTTAAATTATTTATAATTTAATTTAAATTATTTAGGCGAACTGAATTAATTAGGTTATAAAATCCTCCTTACAAGAGATTGTTGAACTTTACTAGATTTTTAAGGTGTTACTTTTATAAATTAAGCATTCATTTTTATTTTTATTTATTTATTTTTAAAGATTTTATTTATTTATTTGACAGAGAGACACGGCAAGAGCAGGAACACAAGCAGGGGGAGTGGGAGAGGGAGAAGCAGGCTTCCTGCTGAGCAGCGAGCCCGATGTGGGGCTCGATCCCAGGACTCTGGGATCATGACCTGAGCCGAAGGCAGACGCTTAACGACTGAGCCACCCAGGCACCCTAAGCATTCATTTTTAAAACCAAAGCAGCTTTGGGGCGCCTCGCTACCTCAGTCGGTGGAGTGTGCGACTCTTGATCTCAGGGCTGTGAGTTCGAGCCCCACACTGGGTGTAGAGATTACTTAAAATAAAATCTTAAAAAAAAATAATTAAAAAAAAATAAAACCAAAGCAGCCTCAGCTGGTTTTCCTATGAACAGAAGCACCCTCGAGGGCAACATAAAACTCACGGTGACCCTGACTGGCCATCACTTGGTTCCACGGTGCCCTGCAAGTGTCCCCATCTGTAAAAACGCCCCACCATTCCCAGTAAGGCTGGCAGAAGTCGGACGCACAGTGCCTTCTGTGTGAGTCAGACAAAGTCGAGCCCTCCAGGTGGAAGCCGGTTGGCGAGTGGTGATGGGCTGCCTTCAGCCCCGCTCAGCCCACGGGCCAGCTGTCCTTGAGCATGGCCTAACCTGCACAACCACATCTGCAGCCCCAAGCCAGCTGCAGATCTTCTCAGGGCAGCACATGCCACAGAAGCCTCTGCCTCCCAGCCTGTGTACCCTCTCGTAAACTAGAATAACCCGTTGAGTTCATCTTGGCTTCTGTGCTGCATATCGCCTGCAAGATCGTGGGCAATTACTCAACCACGATAGACCTCAGTTTCCCTACATATAAAATGGGGAGAACAATACAAAATTCAGGAACCGTAACAACAGAGGATCAGATGATCCTGTTGGGCAGGGATGTGAAATCACAATTCTTGACATTTGTAGAGTGCATCACACGGTGAAGTCCATTCCCATTAAGTTCAGTGACGGCTTCTCACAGATGCTCACATACTCCTTACTGCAGCCCACGGGCCCTCACAGCAGCCTCGGACGAAGGCAGGGAGAGGGGCGGCGAGCGCTGCACACTCACCCTCCGTGCACTGCTGTCTGGCCAGCCTGTGCTGTTTTGTGCACCCCCAGTGCTTTGTTGCTTTGTTCCTGCTGCCTGGACTGCGCCCTTTCACCCGCTTCGCCCTGGTCTGTCCTCGGCGGATCCGCTTGCTCAGACCCCATCTCCTCACAAGGTCCTGGTGACATCTCCCCGAATGGCCTTTCCCTCGCTGTACCACTTTACAGTCTCTCCCACGTTCACATGTGCCCCCATTAATGTCAGTCTCCCCCCTCCCCCCAGCTCCCCTTCTACCGTGAGTTCATCCTCCCGGCCTGCAGCCCCAGGGCCCAGCACAGTGCCGGCAACAAAGATCAAATGGAAAGATTTACAAATTATTGTTGCTGAGACCTGCTTTATCATCTATCCCATGGCCCCAGCCAGAACCCCAGAGTCGTTCCCGATGCCTCCCTCTTCCTTAAAACCTTTACCCAATCCATCAGGAACCACCTGTCCCAGCTCCTAACATTTCTCTCTTCAGTATTCCCACGTCCTTCGCTCCCTCCCTGCCCAACCCGTGCCACCATCTCTGCGGACCATTGTCACAGCCCCCTAACTGGTAGCCTCGTCTCCTCCTCCAATCCATTCTTCAAACAGAAATCAGAATGACCTTTCCAAAAAGCAACCCCCTTCCCTGCTTACAACTCTTCATGGCTTCTTGCATTCAGCATAAAGAGTAAAGCCTGTCACATGGCCCCACCTAGCTGACAAGCCTGCTCCCACTGCCTCCCCGGCTCTATGTCCCCTCCAGCCTCCCAGGACTTTGCTCTGTTCCTCAGTATGCCCTGCTCCTTTCCATTTCTGGCTTTGCATGTGCTGTTGTCTCCTCCCGGAAC